GAGAGAAACAATGAGGAGAAACAGAGAGAGAGCGAGAGAGAGAGAGGGAGAGAGAGAAACAATGAGGAGAAACAGAGAGAGAGAGAGAGAGAGAGAGAGAAATAAACTTTTCTATAGTGCCTCAAGATAACAATCATGAGGCGTTTCACAAGAACTAAAGAAAATTTAAATATAGAAAAAGATTTCAAAAATAGATTAAAAACATTTTTAAAATGAAATTACATTTGTGATTTAAAAGATGTAAAGAAAGGGAGAGAGAAAATGAATAGGAAAGAGGAAAATCAGTGGAACCCGGGGAAGGCGGATACGGGTACATATTTATGCAGACACATACCAAATTATCATCAGCCCACTGTTAGGTCACACACACCAACACTGCAAAAACAGCACAGAACTGGCAAAGGAACTCAAAAAGCTTAGAATAGAAGACAACGACGTACTCATCTCACACAACGTCACATCCCTGATCACAGAAACACCAACCCAGAAAACCATGGACATAGTAGTAAACAGAATAAGACTCAACTCTACACAAAAGAACAAACCTCACAGCAGACGACATCGTACAACTGATAAAACTGGTAACTAACTCCGCATTTTTCACATATGATGGAACAATATACAAACAACTGGAAGACTTCATCATGGATAGCAACATGGATAGCAACAATAAGGCTTATTACGGAAGGAGTGACACAGTCAGGGAGGCCGGGGCGAATCATGACATTACCCCCCCCCCCTAAGGGGCGGATACCAGACGCCCACAAAGCCACACAACACAGGAGACCCCGAAAACACTGGAACTCGGGAACACCAGACTCGGGAACACAGGACTCGTGATCACATGACTCGGGAACACATGACTCGGGAAAATGGAAGACTGGACATGGGAACTTGGTCTCTGGAATTCAACAGCAGCGGGCGCGGGACACCGGAACTCGACAGCATTACGCTGGACCTCGACAGCAGCAGGCGCGGGACACCGGAACTCGACAGGACACTCGAAAACCGGAAACACGCAACACAGTCCGGGGCTGCAGAGCAGGGGCCTCTTGGTTAGACGGCACAACTCCGACTTACAAAGTCTCCTTGAGCTCAGACCGGGGTTGCAGAGCAGGGGCCTCTTGGTTAGGCAGCACAACTCTGACTGACGAGGGTCTCTTGAGCTTGGACCAGGAAACTCAGACTTGGACACACGAACACGAACTCCTGACTCGAACACAGGCACACGAGACCAGGAACACGAACACTTGACTTGACTTGAGACCAGTGTTGGGGTTATTAGGTGAACGAATAATTTGTAAGCTTTTACTTACTTTTTGGATTCTTCAATAAATTCGTAAATATGGAAATATTTATCGATTTATTAATTAAGATATCCTTAGATATCTACGGGGCACCATCCTCTTTTTAAATGGGGAAAAATTGAATCCAAATATCTTATCAGTCTGTCTGAAGTTCGTAAAATCCATTTAGGAGCAGAGATTTTCAGCCAACACACACAAAGTTGCTTGAGACAAAACTGAATGGAATAACATTTAATTAAACAATGGAATAATAATGTAAAACAATCTGACGTGGGTAACCCAAGATGTCTGACCCTTTGTCTGGCTGAAAGTGTATGTGTGTGTAGCAACTCAGACCAGCCTGTGTGGAGAGGGGTCCTTTGTTCTGCTGACCACCAGATCAAACCATGTGTGTGTGTGTGTGTGTGTGTGGGGGGGGGGGGGGGGGGGGGGGCAGTGATGTAAGGCTAAAGGAATGTGACAGGGAGCTGTCTTTTCAGCTCTCCTATAGACCCTTTTACTACCTACGTCATCAAAAGTTGCGCGCGCAGCCTGGCAACGAGAGTGAAGGCTTCCTCATTCACACTCGATACTAAAACAGCGTTTTAAACCCTTTGTTCTGAAGTTCTGAGCACATAAAAATGTCGGGTTGTTGCGTGTATGGATGCCAGAATCGCTTCTCTTCAATCAGTGGAGTGAAACTTTACAGAATTCCGAAGGGAGCACATCCATTTCAACATAATCGGAGGCGTCTGTGGCTGCAGGCCATCAAAAGGGTTGATGAAAACTGGACGGAAAACACGATCCGAAATGCTCGAGTTTGTAGCGCCCATTTTATATCAGGTAAGGTAATTATGTACTAAGGTTACATATAAATTTATATGCTTTATTTCATGCTTCAAATTAACATTTCATTCTAATTCGTCTGTATTTTCCCACTGCATATTAGTATAAACTGTATTTCTCTAAAATTAACACGATTGTACTCTGAGCACGCTAAAAAAAGAAACCTATGCTATACTCACCCTGCCATGCAGGTACAGTTGGCTGTGAAGACGTAGTTCTCTGGTTTGTTTACTATGACCCAAGCCTCGTACGTAGCAGTCTTGTGTCCTTGTCTTTGGCTAGGAAGGACTTCTGCCTTCAAGACGAAAAACTCAGAGTCTATGTCGTGATATTTTACTTTCTGTACGTGGCCACAGACAACATAGTTGTATGCATCTAACGATTTGTAAGTGCCTAGCTTCTCACGTGTGTCCTTACTGGGCCTCTCCACTAAAAACGTATATATATCGGGCCACTGGATATCTGGCCACGCACCTACATCTTCCACCCATTCCGTAATGCCACAGGGATCCGGGAGTCTGTTGCCATTCGTTAAAGTGAGTTTAATAATATAACATTCAAGATTTGCCGGTGATAACCCCGCAGCGTAGCTTGATAAAGCCTGACACAACGCCATTCTCTGTTGCCAAGCTGCGCGCGCATTCTCGCTGACGTCATATTGTTTACAAACAGTAAAAGGGTCTATAGACAAAGAAAAAGGGTTAGCTGGCACTTTAGACTCAAATCACAGTAAACTTAACTTGATCCACTCAAAACACTTCAGAAAAATTGATAAACAACAAAAGATCACTCGTAAATTAACATCTGACACAGTCTGCCAGCCTGGCCACAGAGCGACAAACTTAGATATTAACAATAACAAAACAAAACAAAATGGCTTACTTCAAGATAGACAGTATGACGTATTTTGGTACGGAAGAGAAAAAAATGTCTGATAATTTGAAGCAATAGCGCGGTTTTATTGCTTGTTCTGAATTATAGAGAAAACGGGATAAGATAGAGAAGGGAGAGGAAGATAAAATAAAATCAAACTCTTGCGTTAGCGAACCAAAGGCGTCCCTTTGTTCTTCGCGCTGCAGGTCAGATGGTGGTTCCGTTGCTTCAAGCCAGGCCTCGTATGTGCGTCCAGAGTCGTAGCAGCGAACAATTTCTTACACATCAGCTGGAGTTGAGCAAAAGAGAGCAGATCTGCTGGGTTTCCCCTGCTTTTCAGCGGTTCTGCGTTCGATCCACTTAAGCCGCCAGGCCTCCCGCGTGATCACGTTGACCGGAGCCGTAGCAACCAGCGTGTCCTTCACCGCCAGTTAAACTGGACAAAAGAACGAATAAGTTTCGTTTTTGCTGAAATTTATAACTTCCAGCTGCTGTCTCTGTGTGGTTCTGCGCATGCGCAGGACGTGTTCAGGGTTCCGCGGTGACGTCATCACATTGCTTCCGGGCACAAAGACCCATGGGAAATGAAGTCTCTCTTGGAGCTGGAACTTATTATCTGCTTTTCAAAGCGCAGATTACACAGTTTTTGGATAAAATGCTGCGTAGCAATTTCCTCATGAGGGTAGACCCTCAACACCAGGAACAGAGACTTGACTTGACTTGAGACCAGGAACACGAACACTTGACTTGAGACCAGGAACACGAACACTTGACTTGAGACCAGGAACACGAACACTTGACTTGAGACCAGGAACACGAACACTTGACTTGAGACCAGGAACACTTGACTTGACTGGACAGGAACACTTGACTGGACAGGAGGACAAACCGCATCAGCCGGGACGGGACCCTGTAGTAACTGCAGCAGCAGGCGTGGGACCCAGTAGAGACAGCAGCATGAAGGACCTGCAGGCACAGACCCCGCAGGCGTGAACAAGGAAGCAGAAGAACAGCAGGAGCGACGCGAGGAAACCAGGAGCGGTAAATGGTAAATGGTAAATGGCCTGTATTTGATATAGCGCCTTCTAGAGTCCTTGAACCCCCCAAGGCGCTTTACAACACAACCAGTCATTCACCCATTCACACACACATTCACACACTGGTGGGGATGAGCTACAATGTAGCCACAGCTGCCCTGGGGCGCACTGACAGAGGCGAGGCTGCCGAGCACTGGCGCCACCGGTCCCTCCGACGACCACCAGCAGGCAACGTGGGTTAAGTGTCTTGCCCAAGGACACAACGACAGCGACAGACTGAGCGGGTCTCGAACCTGCGACCTTCCGATTGCGAGGCGAGCACTTAACTCCTGTGCCACCGTCGCTCCCAGGTACTCGGCAAACAGTCCTGAGCAGGTGCACACCATGACTCGACTGGATCTACAGGCAGGCTCAGGTGAAGGGAAGCTGACATGGAGCGGAAGACCAGACCTACCACTCCGAAGAACGCTGGCGTGCGCAGGGGTTTTTACCTCCATAAAAAACTCCAGAAAACAGCAGCTTCCGTGAAAAACAGGACGGGGCGAAAACAGCAGGAGGAGAATGACCCTGACCACCCCGAAGACAAATAGGATGCGCCAGGATCTCCCAGAGGGCTCGACCACCCCGAGACAGGTAGGATGCGGCGAAAAAAAACAAAAAACTCCAGGCCGAAATCTCCCTCTGCTGAAAGGGAGAAAAAAAAAGAAAAAATAATTCTCCAGAAACAGGTGTTAGCTCACCACAGGTCCAGGTTTGGTCGGAGCATTCTGTCATGAGGTGAGGGTGGAGATGGCAGACCATGTGTGGTGGAGGGTTCAGGAGGCAGAAAAGCAGGCACGGATGAAAAAATAAAAATGGATATACAGGTGCTGGCCAGTAAATTAGAATATCATCAAAAGGTTGAAAATATTTCAGTAATTCCATTCAAAACGTGAAACTTGTACATTATATTCATGCAATGCACACAGACCAATGTATTTCCGATGTTTATTACGTTTAATTTTGATATTTATAGGTGACAACCAATGAAAACATCAAATCTGGTATCTCAGAAAATTAGAATATTCTAAAGGCCAATGAAAAAATGTTTGTTTCTCTAATGTTGGCCAACTGAAAAGAATGAACATGAAAAGAATGTGCATGTATAGCACTCAATACTTAGTCGGGGCTCCTTTTGCCTCAATAACTGCAGTAATGCGGCGTGGCATGGACTCGATCAGTCTGTGGCACTGCTCAGGTGTTATGAGAGCCCAGGTTGCTCTGATAGTCATCTTCAGCTCCTCTGCATTGTTGGGTCTAGCGTATTGCATCCTCCGCTTCACAATACCCCATAGATTTTCTATGGGGTTAAGGTCAGGCGAGTTTGCTGGCCAATCAAGGACAGGGATACCATGGTCCTTGAACCAGGTGCTGGTGGTTTTGGCACTGTGTGCAGGTGCCAAGTCCTGTTGAAAGGTGAAGTCTGCATCCCCATAAAGTTGGTCAGCAGCAGGAAGCATGAAGTGCTCTAAAACTTCCTGGTAGACGGCTGCATTGACCCTGGACCTCAGGAAACAGAGTGGGCCAACACCGGCAGATGACATGGCACCCCACACCATCACTGACGGTGGAAACTTTACACTGGACCTCATGCAACGTGGATTCTGTGCTTCTCCGCTCTTCCTCCAGACTCTGGGTCCTTGATTTCCAAAGGAAATGCAGAACTTGCTTTCATCAGAAAACATAACTTTGGACCACTCAGCATCAGTCCAGTCCTTTTTGTCCTTGGCCCAGGCGAGACGCTTCTTGCGCTGTTTCTTGTTCAAGAGTGGCTTGACACACGGAATGCGACACCTGAATCCCATGTCTTTCATGAGTCTCCTCGTGGTGGTTCTTGAAGCGCTGACTCCAGCTGCAGTCCACTCTTTGTGGATCTCCCCCACATTTTTGAATGGGTTTGTCGTCACAATTCTCTGCAGGGTACGGTTATCCCTAGAGCTTGTACACTTTTTTCTACCACATTTTTTCCGTCCCTTCGCCTGTCTGTTAATGTGCTTGGACACAGAGCTCTGCGAACAGCCAGCTTCTTTAGCAATCACCTTTTGTGTCTTGCCCTCCTTGTGCAAGGTGTCAATGATTGTCTTTTGGACAGCTGTTAAGTCAGAAGTCTTCCCCATGATTGTGGTGCCTTCAAAACAAGACTGAGGGACCTTTTAAAGGCCTTTGCAGGTGTTTTGAGTAAATCAGCTGATTAGAGTGGCAGCAGGTGTCTTCTATATTCAGCCTTTTCAGAATATTCTAATTTTTTGAGATACCAAATTTGGAGTTTTCATTAGTTGTCACTTATGAATATCAAATTTAAATGTAATGAACATTGGAAATACATTGGTCTGTGTGCATTGCATGAATATAATGTACAAGTTTCACGTTTTGAATGGAATTACTGAAATATTTTCAACCTTTTGATGATATTCTAATTTACTGGCCAGCACCTGTAATGGTAGTAGCACAAGCACGAACACAACGCAATGATCCGACAACGACAGGAACAAAGAGGGAGGTATAAGTACACAGAACAATCAGGGAATGTTACGCCCCCTCTCTGCAGGTCTAGGATGATGAGGGGACTAACACAAGAAAATAGGCGTAAAGGTGTGTGTGAGAATAAAGGACGAGGAGGTTAGAGTAAAAACAAAAGGATTTATTAACATAAAGTGTCCGTGGGTAAACGGCATAGATAAGGCTTACTACTAATAAACTCAAACATAAGCAGTCTCACTGCTTATGAAAAAAAAGAAGGCTTTCTGCCAAACGCAAGATATCCCCGGCTCAAAAGTCCTATGGGGATAAAAGAAAACTTCCACGAAGGTTTAACCCTTAACAAGGCGTGTGACAACACGCTCAGAAGGTACCCAGGCTAATCCTGGATCCGGGATCTCTATCAACAACCTTAACCCAACCTTAAACCCAGCAGGAACGGTGTGAAAAGCCTTAAACCCGACTGGTAACGGTAGAAAAGTGTCTGTGAGCTGAGGAGAATCTCTGGCTACTCCAGGATCTCCTCGATGTCTGCTGCGTTCCTCCTTTTAAAGAGCTGGGAGCTGCTTGATCGCTGATGAAGATCAGCTGCTGTCTCTGCTGGCGTGCCTCTCTCCGAGGTCCTGAAAGGGCGCTGGAGCGCTGGAGAGTGTGAGCTGGCCGCTCCTGGCGCTGTCCCTGGTTCTGGATCCCGTGCAGCGGGGACAAAAGGCTCAGGCTAGGATGAGAGGACGGACCGAGGGGACGAGGGTCGTCACAGGGAACACATGGGCAGGTTGACGAGGGGCAGGTGAGAACAATAAGGCTAATTACGGAAGGAGCGACACAGTCAGGGAGGCCGGGGCGAATCATGACACTGTTATTAATAATATTGTGTATTATTTACACCAATCAGAATATTCAGTCATGTTCAGACATCCAAACCTTAGAGATGAAATAAAATCAATATTAAAGTTAAAAGTGATTAACATTGTTTCTTCATTAAAAGATCAGTTATCTGTGAACACTTTTCTACTTGATGTTGTCCAGCTGAAGCAGACATCTGCTTATTTCTAACGGAGCTGGGGTCTCATTTATCAAACATTGCGTAGAATCCTTACTAAAACTGCACTTAAAGAGCAAGTCACATCAAAATCAACTTATTTTAGCTTATAACTAGTATAAATGAGTGTCTAATAGTGTTGTAGACATGTGTAGTTATTATTTTTACATTTTGATGCGTTTTCTTAGAAAAATCTAAATTCTGTCTGCTAACGTCAGTCTAGCACCATCTTCAGCTCAAAAGTATAGAACACGTTTATTATGAGTCGGTTTTAGCCAATGGCTAACGAGAAAAGTACTACGTAGCAGCTCTGTGGCTGTAAGTTTGTTATAAAAGCACCGCGGTCTCAACCAGCCTTGTAGCAGTCGGGGCTTGTAAGTGAGTTGTGCTGTATGTAGAAGTCTTTAATTGATTAAATGAAGACCTCAGAGCCACTTGTTGATTTTCACAAGGCTTCTGTGTTACTTCCTTTATTCTTTTCCCGCCTCGTCACACATTCCTTTTTTCTCTCGCCATCAGTCCCAAGATGCCCCCTAGAGGCTCCATCCTGAACACCTCTACACCTCCCCCTTTTAGCTTGAAAAACTCTACTTGTAAGATAACCTTGTACTCAACACAACAGTATCATTCTAACAGAAACCTGACTTATAGTCCAGTGTTTACAACCAAGCATTTTCAACTCTTGTTTAACAATATAACCTAACATAAACACCTTTGTTTTAGAAACATCGCCCTTTTGTTTTTAAATGTAGGGGTCAACTAAAATGAGAATATTCACAAGTCCAGTCTCTCTGGTGGGCGGGAAACCCTTCCCGACCTGGTCACAGTGGTACCCGGGAGTCTCTGTGTCAGGTCTGACACCGGCTCCTCAGAGCAGGGCAGCTCTGTCTCAGGGAGTACAGTCAGGTGAGCCCTGTTTCTTCTAAAACTCCCTTGCTCGGTTTCCACTACATAAGACCTTGGGGTTGAGGCCGGACCCTGGACCGTAGCAGTGGACTGTGATGTTCTAATCCACACTCTTTGGCCCAGAATCAGAACTGGTAAGTCTTTGGCCTTATGCCTCCTATCGAACGAATTCTTCTGCCTTTCCTTCAACTCTTTATCCCTTTTCCTGAAGGCTCCAAGGTTCGGCCAGGCTGGATTCAACGCTTGTGCTGTGGTGGGAACTGTGGACCTTATCCGCCTCCCCATCAGCAGTTGCACTGGACTCAGTCCATGAGCTAACGGTGTAGTTCTTTAGGCTAAAAGAGCCCTCTGAGGGTCTGGACTTTTACTAAGCATCTGTTTGACCGTCCTGACGGCACTCTCTGCTTCCCTGTTGCTCTGAGGGTAACGAGGGCTACTGGTCACATGTCGGAAACCATAGTCCTGGGCAAACAGACTAAAGTCAGAGGAAGCAAACTGCGGGCCATTGTCCGTCACCAGGCATTCCGGCACGCAGAATCTTGCAAAGATCACCTTCAGCCGCTCCACCGTTGTAGCTGTTGTGAGAAATGGGAGGTTGGCTCTTTACTGGCCCCGGAGGATCCAGGTTCGAGTCCGGGCAGCGAAAGTAGAGTAGATGTCATGTTATTTTTTTCCTATTTCCTGTGATATTATTTTACAGTTGTGACCGTTCAACTGTCATTAAACGTCCGAATGTTTGCTGGGCAGTGTTTTAAAAAGTGCACATAAGCTAGATGGTTTTAACCATATACAATTATATTTTTTGTGATACTGGAAAAATACATACTGAAATAAAACTACTGATTGAAAACTTTATGACTGTGGTTGTACAATATATGAGTCACTAATACACTGCAAAGGCCCTTAGAGTGGGGCTTCCAGAGAGAGAGAGAGAGAGAGAGAGTACATACAAGCCCCCGATGTTGTGTGGAACCAGCCCTTCAAAGCAAGCCTGCATGCATCTTATGAAGAGTGGATGTCTGGCGACACAAACAAGCAATACACAAGTGGAGGGAACCTGAAAGCACCATCTCGCCGTCTGCTTGTGGACTGGGTTCTTGCTGCTTGGGACAAGCTGGACACGGAGCTGGTCATAAAGTCCTTCAAAGTGTGTGGCCAGTCTGTGAAACCCGACGGGAGTGAGGACCACCTCATACTGTGCTTCAGAGACGGACAGGTACGTTGAAATAATGTATCATTATCAGTCTAATTCATCTACCATTAGATGAATTTATTCGTGAGTGAACCTTTCCACTGTTACTTGCATTTGCAGCTAAACTAAAATGTAATGTATGGTAATCTTGGACTTTCACAAATCATGGTGAAATATGAATACGCTAAATACTTTTTTCTGTTTTCTTTAAGAGATGGAAGCTGATGAAGAGCTGGAAACAATGATGCTTTCTTTGTCTCCATCCAAGCTCCTTCCTCGTGACGGTAACAACAAAACCCTTCATAAGCATAAAATCACATTCAAAGTGTTTATTTACAAATAAACTTAAGAGACAATTGTTTTACTCACATTGTATGTTTTTGTGCTTATGTCCCCAAAACAGGCTCAGAGGAGAAAACTGAACAGAAGACACGGGCTGCCTGTCCACCAGCTACTGCACGCCACCTGGGTGAGCGTCACATAGACTCGGGCACCTGTTTTCAGACACTCGAAGCTTAAACCTTCTTCCACCTACACTGACTTTGTAGAACATATGTTTTTCAGTTTTCTTTAAGATTTGCATGTTTGTTTGCTGAAACACTGAGGGTGTGGTATGAAACTGAATTTCAGGGTAAAAGAGTAAACAAAAGAAATAATATTGAACTTTAAAAACTGCATCATTCATTTATGTCAAGACTGATTACCACATAATAAAATAAAATAAAAATATAAATCAGTGATCATACCACAACCACATTTTACTTGATGAGGTCCATTATCTTTAGACTTTAGAAGACAGACGTGGGTCACAGCAGTAAAATGATTTTTCTGCTTCAGCATCAGCAGCAGCCTCACAACCAGACCAGTCTGATGATTGCAGCACCCCCCTCTCCTCTGCATCAGGTAGCTGAATGCACATGTGCATATATATGGTTTGTTTAAACCATATTAACATCTGATGTTTTCCCCACAGGTCCTGCATCTATGGAGCCTCCACTACCAGTTCCTCCAGAGTTACTTGCCCTCAAAATTCCATCGAGGAAAACCACACCACCCTTAAGACTGGAGCCGGTATCGGGCCTTGGTGAGTGTGTTAAAAAAAAGAATAATCATATTTAATTTATATTTTATTACACTTATAAGGTTACTTGTGTGGTTGTGCAGCACTCCTTCCAGGAACGCCTGCAGCATCTTCAGCTTCCTCAGCATCACCTGCAGCTTCTGGTCAGTCGGTGTTAGGCCACCCCACCACACCTGCTCCTCCTTCAGCAGTCTCTGCAGCGAGAGATCCACCAGCTCAGTCTCAGAGACCTGCTGTCCCACCGATGCCCAGCTACAAACAGGATATGAGCCGATGGAACTGCTCTCACCAGCAAAGGATTTGGATGAAGACGGAGATGGAATCCCTGGGTCTGTGGCCTGGATCTCGACCGGTGAGACACCCAGTGAACTTGATCTCATTGTGGCGTAACCCCCCTCAGCCAGAGCTCATCGACTCCATCTAAGAACTGCCATCACCCAAATATTTTCAGCTGCATCCATTTTTCATCTGGAAACCAGAGCATGCCGTCGTGGAAAGAGTGCGTAACAACTACTCACTTCCATGCCTCCACAACTGCTCAAACCCCCACGTGGTCTCGTCAGGAGTTGGTCGGCCTCGTGTTGTCCTTGGAGCAAGCGGGCAGTACTACATCCTGGCCTCACGCCTCAGCTGTAGAGTCTGCATGAAGTTCTGGTTTGCAGATAAACCTCAATGGGTCAGCATGCTGCCAAATAGATTCTGCAGCATTTTTCCAGCATTTCTGACCCACAAGAAAGGCATATGCAGGACCGTGATGGATGAGCTGCGGCGGTCAGGAAAGTCTCCAAATGACATGGCCAACCAGCTAAATGAAGTTCTCCATCTTAAGTACGAGCGTACTCACCTGGCATACCTCTCCTCTGTTAAAAACATAATGGATGGAGACTGTGGACTGTATGGCCAGCGGGCCATCACTGCAACTCTGAGGACAACTGCTGCTCCTGCTGCTTTTGGGATGTACGAGGATGTTGATGGCTGGCATGGAGTAGCTGTTGAAGCTCATTACCTGGTTGACTGTCTCATTCAGGAGTACAGAAGGCAGAAGGACTCGCTGAATCTGCTTCTTCAGGGTACCATTGGGCAGGTCTTCAGAGCTGACCACTAGGGCTTACGCGGTAACCGCAAAAATGAAATATCGCAATATGAAGAAGCCCACCGCGCTGCATCATGCGCCACCGCGATTACTGAACTTGGTTCAACTCAATGATGCATGTTGAGAAGGATGGCTGCACTGGTATCAAAACGAAACGTCACTTCGCTCCTTTGGGAGCACTTTGGTTTTCAGTACGTCAGCTGCTGCGCAGCCAGAGTCCTTGGCCGAGACAGAGCTGCCACCAGCGGCAAAAAAATAATAACAAACGCTCGGAGACCTGCTGAAGTCCCGGACAAGCACTGCTTCTGCAACCGTCCCGAAGAGAGTTTGAGCCGAGCTGGAGCTCACTCGCTACCTGCAGGAGGAATGCATCCACCCTAAAGAAACCTCCCTGACATGGTGGAGCAACAACCGGGAGAGATTCCCTTTGCTCGCCAGAGTCGCACGCAAGTACGTGTGCGTTAGTGCAACGAGCGCACCATCCAAGAGGGTTTTCAGTGTTGCTGGAAATGTTGCCGCCCCTCTCAGATCCTCTCTCAAACCGTATATGGTTAACATGCTGGTTTTCCTTGTGGGCAACAAGGACGCGACCGAGCTATAAAGCACCATCATTCGTGTGTGTGTAGTGAAACGATAGTGCGCCCGCCCCCCGGCGCGCGCGCGCCCGGTACATGTAATTTTTTATGCTTGATTTTAAACAACTAAACAACATGGGGATTTGTTAGATGCTGCAGCCAAATTTGCATTTAAAAGTTTAACCTTCTCCTGAATTTTGTTGTTTTTAAGTTCAGTCGGACTCCGACTGTCGGAGAAACAAACGTTACTGCCATCTGTGTTGTTACTGCCCTTTGATCTGCATTCAGTAAAGTGTTATTAAAGAAGGCACGGCAATTTTAAACCTTTTTTATATGTGTAAACATTATGTTTAGATAGTACTGCAATCAAAAAAAGAAGTGCTGCAATAATATCGCACACCGCAATATTAAGCCACCCTGAATCACCGCAGGGGGAATTCCTCAACCGCGACAGCCCTACTGACCACACCTGTAAGGTGGCATGGAAAGTGGTCCTCTCATCAGGCACCGTGTCATCATATGCCGTCATGAATGAGAACTGGATGATCCTGTCCTGGGCGATGCTGCAGTCTGAATCAGACAAATCGCTGGAGCCAGTGTACGAGGGGCTGTCCTGCCGTTACGTTTCTGCAGGACAGCCTAAAGCCACGCATAAGTGGGTTGACAGGTAAGGTCAGACATCATTGTTTCCTTTGCCCTGCTTATTTTTTAATGTTCATTCATTAAAACAAGGTATAAATTATAGTGTAAAATATATTTGTGTACAACTAGTATTTCATTCCTTTATTTATATTTGCAGAGATTGCTGCGCTGCATTCCGCATCCCAAATCCTGGACATCAGGAACACCTGCTCTGGGATTCTTGGAAGACCACGGATGACATAATAGCCGAGGCAACTTCTGGGAATCTCAACAACAGCTGTGCTTCTCGCCAAAGCTATAACAGTAAAATCAACATTAAGCTGGATTTATTTCATTGTATGCGGCGTTTCACCAGAGAGTGCACATCTGAACATCACCCACTGCGCAGCGCTTTCTGCAAGTTTCTCTCTGCAGCCTTCTGTGTTGTTGACCAGACAGACCTGCGTCGACTGAGGCAAGCCTATGTCTTCTGTGGCATAATATATATCAGGCAGCACTGTCGTACCAAGATCCCACAGCCCAGAGAGTTGCTGGTGAGAGTAGAGAGTGTTCTGCAGAAGTTCTTCTCAGAAAGTGACCCTGACGGAGTGCCGGTTTTTAAACCGAGCATGCTGAAAGTGTGGAGGATTCAGCGTGTCCACATTCTCCGGGGCTGTCTGAGTGGTCCAGAGGTTGGTGAGGGGGTCCTCTACAGACATGGTGGCATGGTCCAACTTAACCATGTGAAGGGGGAGGAGGCAGCTGTACCTGTCTGGATCCCTGTGCGAGGCACCTCTCAGCAGGAGGGTTTTCAGTTTCATCAGTCCAAGTGGGTCACGGGAACTCGGGTCTCCACAGAGCTTTTCCAGGTGCAGGGAATGATTGGAGTGGCTCTCTGGAATTTTCAACATCTTCTGGACCTGAAGCAGCCTGATGTTCAGCTCCCTTTGGTTTTCGATCCAGCTTCGGTGTCGGAGCTGAACAAACTTTCAGAGGAAGTCACGGGACAAGCCAAGCATCCTGCCCTGCGTCTTTCCAATGCAGACACTGGAGAACGGTTTGGACTGCAGTATTTGGAGCCCGGCTGTCAACCCGTCCCTCTGGACTGGAATAAGCCGAGGGCACAGAACACTCCAGCTTCTCCCACCTCAGAGCCAACCCCTCCCTTTGTGACAGCTACTGACCTACTTGAGGAGGTGAAGGTGGAGCTCTTTGCTCAGGTAACCATGATCCTTGCTTTAGTTCTGACACATTTCAAATAACAACATTCAAATGATCATCAACCAACTACATTGCTCGTTTCAGGACGACGCTGCTGGTGTAACTGCGCTCGGCACACAGACCACAGTCCAGCCCGGCCCAAACAAAGGTAGTTCACGTCACCTTTTCATCCTCCTCCTATATTTACTTTTGGCTTTATATTCCAACACAAATTAATACATTTTCTTCTTGGTTTTCTCATTTTCTCTCCATCAAATGTCCCAGTAGTACTACCACCACCACTGCCTTTGGCAGCCTGTCCTCGTGCTGCTCGCACAGGTCCCATCAAAACTGGTGGTCTGCTGTTTGTCTTGGACCATTCTCGGTGGACGCAGCCAATGAGGGAAACCATTGACCAGATCGTGGCGAAGCATCGTGGGCAAAAAGACTTTCTCACTAAAGTCGACGCAGAGTACGCCGTTCTGGTTCAAGCTGCATCCAGAGACCCCAACAGCCTCCTGCATCCCACCGCTAAACAGCATCGCTCACGCTACATAAAGCACCTGGCTACGATGACAAACACAAGCTCATCACTCAACACCAGTTCAGAGACACTTCTGGAGACCCAACGGCTGTGGCATAACCTCACAGAAGGCAGTGAGACTGTTGCTGTTCCCGTGGTAACCATTCCCCCTGCCACTGTCAACCCACCCAGAATTAAGGCACAGGACCCCCCTCTGACAAAAACAGAAATTGAGAAAATGGTAAAAGACATTGTCCAAAAGCACCAGGAACAACAACAACAACAACCTGCGAAAAAAAGAACAAGAAACTGTGTCGCATGTGGCCAGCCGAAGTCACGTTTCAGGGGGGATGGATCCAGTGTTCACTTCTTTTATCAGTCAGGAGAGGTTAAATACTTTTATTGCTCCGTTAAAGTCCACCAGACCTATGCGCCAGAGGGTCTGACAGATCCACGGATGCCATTTGTTGATTTTGCAGACTCACCTTTTTTTATGAGAGAGCTTGAGGCTGCAAAGCTGCGCTCCACAGAAACAAAGCAGGTTATGGAGGAACGAAAAAAGAGGAAGGCAACAGAGGAGCATCCCACTGGAAGGCTATGCAGGTTCTGCCACAAGCCAATCAAACAAGGCCGAGACAGTCCTCATGTCCACACCGGGTTTCCTGGTGTAACAGGGAAATACATCTACTGTCCCAGTAAAGTCTTCTCTCTGTACAAAGCAGAAGGAATGACGGAGGAAATGACGTGGAGACAGTTCTGTCAGTCTTCCTTTTATGAGACAGAAAAGAAAAGATGGGCAGCAGAACAACAGAAGTGATTGTTGATCTGCTGGCCACAGCTTTGTGATGTTTAATACTGTAAATAAGGTAAACATGTTGTTATTGTGCAATACTGTTTTCTGATGGTTAATGATGCATGCCTGGATGTTTACTCTTCTCAAGGTCCTTGTTTTAACCCTCCCACTGTCCTGACGGGTGACCCCTCGAGGAAAGTTGACCATTGAGTAGGGTTGATGGTTTATCCCTTGGGTCCACGTGGCAGCGATGAGGAGTGAGCACCACCTTACCCCTGCCACGTGGACCCAAGGGATAAACCATCAACCCTGCTCAATGGTCAACTTTCCTCGAGGGGTCACCCATTAGGACAGTGGGAGGGTTAAAGAAAGTTACATTTCTTCTATTTAAAGTGTCCAGCACTTTTTGTAAATAGCTAAAATTGTGGAGATGGATAATTCTTTCTTTAAATGTATTGCTACTATTCAAATTCCTAGATTGTTCATAAAAAATGTTTTTAAGATTTGAATTATAATAAAGATGATTGAAAAGAACCCAGACTGTATTTACATCTGAAGTATTAATTCATTTATATAGATACACACACACACACACACACACACACACACACACATATACACACACACACACATATACACACACACATGTATATATCTTTCCTGCTCACAATAATTTTTATATAGGTGTAGATTCAATTGTTTTAAAAATAAAGTTTATGTTATTCATTGGGATATGAACATAAAAATGAAAAAAGCTGCTGAAAAATTTACACATTTTTGACTTAACAGTTTTCGAACCCACAGCAAGCTGGCAAGTCCGGTTTTGGAAGTTGTTGATGCGCTCCGGCTTTAAGCTGCAATTTGATTGGCTGTCAGTGCATTACGCCTTTATGCGGCTGGCCTCTCCCAGCTGAGCTATGACAACAACTACTAAATATCAGATTTTTTTATATAGATATAGCTCCCATCATTTTGGTCCGACAGGAAGCCAATTGGCCAATGAGGTAGAGGGTAAAGTGCGGGGTAAACTAACCAATCAGAGGACAGAGAAGATCTTCCACAGGCCACGCCTCCAGAGTGCCAAAACCCCTTCACAGCTGAGCGAGCGGAGTCAGAAACCGAGCGCGCAGAGAGGCTGCCACGCGCGCACGTTTTCCTCTGCCGTGTGCTCGTTGGCAACGCGCGCACAGCAGGTTTGTCACTTGTGCACATCCTTGTGCGCTCACAGACACAGTTTGCTCCCTCTCAGTGCACAAATGACCTCTCGCCATGTATATTTTCACTCGCGAGTCCCGTTCACACGCGCAATGTGGACCCAATCTGCGTGCACGGGTTGTGGCACGGGTCTGACGCCATATAGAGAGCAAAGCTCTGAGCAGCGAGAACGAAACTAAGGAAACTGATAACAAAAACACATGGAGGCAAACAGAAAAAGGAAACATACTTTGTTACTCATTTTAAGAAGTTGATTCAGATTGTAAGTTTTACTTTTGAAACATGTTTTTTTTTCCTTTAGTCAATATTTTTGCTCTGTCAATTTCTTAATTTTTGTTTGACCGTCAAAGTATTTTTCTTGATCATTTTAAGAATCGGATTCAGATCGTAAGTTTTTCTTTTGAAACGAATGTTTTTTCTCTCAATGTCTTAAAATTTGTTTGCTCTCCAAAGTGTTTTTCTTGATCCTATTGGCACAAATCTAATCCCATATATTTGACTACTGCTAAGTTCTTATCCTTTTATATTTACATTTGATGGTTAAATGTTTGATTACGCTGTGTTGTCATAATTTTCTAATAATTAAAAAAAAAAACGACCAGCGTTGTTTACATATACACTGTTACGTCGACGAGGTGACGTATGAAAAGACGTCCGTTACCAAACCTTTTTCCCTCCTCGCTGATTAAGCTAGCATTAG